CCGCTCTGTTCTGTGCCAATCGCACTGTCTCTGACACTCCCATCCCAATTATCTCAGTCACTGAATCAGTCCACCTCATAGAGGGCCTTCCTCTCCTGCACTGTCCCTCCACGCTTCCAAGCATGATGTCCCTCTCTAAGGACCGGTCTCTCCTCACAACATGTCCAAAGTATGTTAGATGGAGCCTCAGAATCCTTGCCTCCAAGGAGCCACCCGGTTTAACCCTTTCCAGGACAAATCTGTTTGTTTTCTTAGCAGTCCATGGTATTCTCAATACTCTTCTCCAGCACCACAGCTCAAAGGCATCTATTCTCCTTCTATCCTCCTTGGTCCTTGTCCAACTCTCTGATGCATAACAAGTGATTGCGAAGACCATGGCTTGTATCAGACACACCTTAGTCTCCAGAGAGACACCACTGCCCTTCAGCACTTTGGAGAGGTCCCTAACAGCAGACTTTTCATGGCATTGCGCCTTTTAATTTTCTGGCTGCTGGTGCCAAGACTGTTGACTATGGAGCCAAGCAAACTATAGCTGTATACAATCTCAATTTCTTCATCATCTATCCTGATGCTGCCAATTGGTCCAGTGGTGAGAATCTTTGTCTTCTTGACATTGAGCCTCAATCCATATTGTAGGCTACAGTCCTTGACACTCTGCAGCAGATGCTTCAGGTCCTCTTCAGTTTCAGCAAGCAGGGTTGTGTCATCCGCATAACGCAGATTGTTGATAAATCGTCCACCAATCTTGACCCCATGTTTCTCTTCATAAAGCCCAGCCTCCCGGATAATCTGTTCTGCATATAGGTTGAAAAGGTATGGAGATTAGGATTCATCCCTGGCGTATGCCCTTCCCAATTTTGAACCATGCAGTGTTTCCTTGCTCTGTTCTGACGACTGCCTCCTGGTCCAAGTGTGGCTATTAATTATTAGGGTGTTATATATACCCATTGTGGACATCTAAGCTATCTACTCAGGCAGTGTAGTCTGTTGCTATATTTCTTGCACTGTGGCCATTCATTTGATATCTGGGGGGGAAAGTTGCTGTCGTGGGATAAAAGAAGACATCTATTTCTGGCCTTCCAGAACATATTTGCTTAGTAAGAAGTTTTCTCTTATACAGTAATGAGAAACTGCTTTAAAACAGATTCTCATGACCACTCATTCTGTAAACTCTCATTCTACCAGAAACTGATGTTGAATGTAGTTGGGGCTCAGGCTGGTGGAATGAGCATCACTAGAGAATTTGTAATAAATGTTAATTCTTAGACTCCACACCAAACCTTCCGTATGGGAGACACTGGGAAGAAAGGTTCAGTGATCTGTGTTTTAACAGACTTTCCAAGTAATTCTGAGATATGTTGAAGATGAGAATGGATAATTTAAATGATCATGGGTTTATAGGCTCTGAAAACCCAATGTGGGAGTCAGATATAAGTTGATTCCTACTCAGCCATAATGAGTTGTGTGGAGCTTGAGTCTAAATGCAACTTAAACTTGTACGATCTGAAACTGATCAAACATGCAATGATGATGCATTAATAATAGTTGGTGACTGGAATGCAAAAATTGGAAACAAAGGACTAGTACTTGGGAAATATAGCCTTGGTGATGTCCATTAGACTGGAGTTCAAATGAAAGAATTTTATAAAATCAAGGATTGAAAAATACCTTTTTAAAAAGCATAAACAGCAGCTGTGCACATCATAAAACAAAAATCCTTACCACTGGACCAGTAGGCAACAGCATAATATATGGAGAAAAGATTACCATTGTCAACTATTTCATTTTAATTGGATACTCATTTAACACTCATGCTATTGCCACTTAAGAAATTAAAGATGTATTGTATTGGGGAAAATATGCAGAATAAAAGGACTTCCCCACAGTACAAAGTGTGAGAATGTCAATTTAGAGAATAAAAGTGTACTTACTGGTCCATGGTATTTTCATGAAAATACCAAAGTCTAGTCCTTGGCAAAAAACAATATAATGCTATGAAAGATATAGGGTCAGAGAAATAGAAGAAGACCCTTAATAAGATGGATTGGTGTGGTAACTATAAATATAGGCTCACGCATGACAGAGGTCATGAGGATAGTGCTGAATAAGGCAAGTTTCCAATATGATGTTCATAGGATCACTTTGAGATGCAGTTGACTCGATGGCACTTATCAACAATAACAACAACAACAACGATAATCTAAATGTACTTCTGGAAGGCCCTATGGAGAGGATGAAGTGTTCATAGGGTACAGTAGTAAAGCACTTGTTTGCTAACTGCAAGGTCAGTTTTTCAAATCTACCAGTTGGGGCCCTGGAAGCCTCCTATTGGCCTTCCAGCTGAGGCCCTTGTGTCTGGCCTAGTAAGACGAAAGGGGTGGGGGTGGGGAGCTCCTAGAGGCCTTCCAGTGGAGGTCCTTGTATCCAGGATGATGAGATGGGACCCGGGGGTTTCTGGAGGGCTTCTAGCTGAGGCACTTGTGTCTGGCCTGGTGAGACGGGACCTGGCGGTTACTAGAGACCTTTAAGTGGAAGCCCTTTGATGGGGGATGGTGAGATGGGACCTGAGGGGCTTCTGGAGGCCTTCCAGCTGAGACTCTTGTGTCTGGGATGGTGAGATGGAACCTGGGGGGCTTCTGGAGGCCCCCCCTTTCAGATGAGGCCCTTTTGTCTGGTCTAGGAAGATGGGACTTGGGGGGCTTCTGAAGGCCTTCCACCTGTGGTCATAGTTGTTCCACAGCAGAAATATGCAACAATCTTCTCCATTAGGAAACTCTATGGGTCACTCCTGCCATGTCCTGTCATCAAAATCTTAATGGCAATGAGTTTGGCTTAGTTGTAGATAGAGTCAGAGCACTGACTTAGATTCCTGAGAAAACAATTTTTTTCCCTTAAATCACAGTTCTATACCTTAATATCATTGTGTTGTTAGCCAATTTGTAAAGTGTGTCTTAGCTTCAATGAATATTTCCCTATATTTGGTAATTAATGAAACAAAGATTTTTTTATGATACAGTAAGCAGGGAAAAAAAAAGTCACTGGATGCCAGACCATTGTTATTTCTGGTTAATAATTTTCCCCCAGAAAATCCCAGAGATGCTCTCCACCTGTGCCTGTGTGGCCTGTGATGATTGTGTGACATTTACACAGTACAGGCAGTAGACCACAGCACAGGATGCAGCGAGAGGCTGTCTGGGGAAGCTGTGTGCTCAGTGCAGGTTTTGACCCCCTCACTGAGAATTACTGCTTTGTACATTTTCAGGAAGTTCACAGGACCAGGAACTGGAGTATCTGGATGAGGAGTGTGACTCCATCACTTAACTAGCTTGGAAAAGTCACATGACTACACCTTTGGAAAGTTACTAGACCACTCTAAACACTATAGTCCTGCTATTTAAAAGGGGGAAAAAAACCCACAAAATAAATAAAAACCATCTAGTGCATAGATTTGTTACAGGAATAAAGTGAGACTGGGAATATAAAAATAGTGTATAAATTTGAAGCATTATTATGCATCTTGTGGTGCCTACTATTTCCAGCATTATAGTCGGAAGAACGCTGTGCTTGTGAATTTAGCCTGAAGCTATAGAACAAATCTGGTGTGGAGAAAGAGGTAGATTAATATAGGCAGATATTGGAAAAAGTAGCTGAAGAATTTGAAAGGAAATTTCCAAAAATTGGAGAACTCTCATTTAAAAGGGGAAAGGGAAAAAAAAAATCTACTTATGTAGATGCAAACAGTATGGAGATTCTATGGAATGCCTTTAGTCTAATTGTCACTGAACATTTTTCTTTGAGGTAAGTAGAAGTGATAGTGGTTTATATTTAGTTCTGACTTCTGAAGTTTACTGTCAAAATTCCATCATTTAGGATGAAAACCACCACCTTTACTAGGTAAAACTTGTGTCTCTGGTCTGACATATGTTCATTATGTGATTGGAAGTTTATATTGGAAGTAATATTGATCTCCATTATTCTCAGATCTGTTTGCAAATTTGACTGCTTGCTGAAATTTATTTGTAACACTAGTATATGGACTGTGATGTTTCCATTGCTCTCTATGAACATACTGTAAAGTGAAATGCCAACTATGAGTAAGAGAAACAAGCAAAACAAAACCAAAAGGTCTTGATTTCCTCTGTTAAGATAAAAGGAACCTCCCTCCATTTATACCCTCATCTCTACTTTTTTCTTCCAGTATTTATATTCTCTGTGCCTTAATTCTTTTACCAGTAGAATGTACCTGTAGATTGTAGTGAATAGTTCATTATTGAATTGTCACATAATGCCTAGAATAGCACCATGAGTGATTATGATAATCCATTGATGTCCTTTTTTAAATAATTAATTAATTTATTTTTATTATTATTTTTTTATTTTATTTTATTATTTTTGTGTGCGTGTACCGTCAAATCAGATCTGACTGGTACAGGAGGAGATTGCCCCTCCTTCCCCGGCAGAGCATCTGGTGGATTCGAACCGTGCACCTCTGGGATTGTAGTTGCAGCTTCTTGCCACTAGGCCACCAGAGCGCCCCTGATGTCCTTGAACAAAGGCAAGATGGACAGTCTGGAGAGGTAGAGAGTTGCCCCAGCCATTATGGGACGGAAAGCTGCCTTTGGATTATAACTGGGAGGCTGTTTGAAGTTCTCCTATTTCAGATGGTCTCAGAAGTCTGGAACTGCTCGTGGCACAGAAGTCTTAGGCAGCCATCGTTCTCAGGCCATCATCCCCTAAGATCTCTGCTGCTGAATTCAAGACTGTGCACCTATGATAAAGCTAAGAATAGGAAATGTATGTGTATCTCTTCGACTGTGGTGCATGTGGGGTCATCTCATACATATGTGAATCAACATCACAGCTACTGCTTTTTCATTATACTGAGACAACAGGAAGGAAGACAGTGCATTATGACAAGATGTCCAAGCTTTGCTAAGGGAATCTGAGAGCTCCCACTTTATTTCAAGCCCCTTTAACTATCTTTCTGGTCTTCCTTATAGGTGCACAATTGACAACCGAGTCACCCGGGTAGCCTGGCTGAATCGTAGCACAATTCTTTATGCTGGGAATGACAAATGGTGTCTGGACCCCCGCGTGGTCTTGCTGAGCAACACTCAGACTCAGTATAGCATTGAGATCCAAAATGTAGACGTATACGACGAGGGCCCTTACACTTGCTCTGTGCAGACGGACAACCACCCAAAGACCTCACGGGTCCACCTCATCGTACAAGGTAGGTGGGCTCACTATAGGGCTGTATAGAAAATATGGGTCGGCTTGTCTAGAGGCTTTGTCTGTAACTGTCATTAGGCATGAGATTCATTTACCTTCGATAGCTAGAGCAGCTTTCTGGTGGTTGTGTTGCAATTAGAACAAATATTTTCAATTATTTGTCCAATGAGTAGAACTGGAATTTTTATTTGTTAATGTTTTCATTTTGTCTAAATAATGTAGTTTCTGAGAAAATTATTTTCTAATTATTTTCTTATATCAATTGTTTATATACGACTCTATTTTCTTTAAGACTCAGATTTTAATGTTATCTTGGTAGCACATGCATATGCCCCTGCCCTCACCTAGCCTTTAAAGACAGCAGGTTCATCCACCATATTCTAGAAAATTATCTCAGACATACTCTTTACAATGACTTCTGTTATTTCCATCATGTTTACATTTTCTCTAATCTCTCCAGCCTTGGATTACTGATTCTGCATCTCTGTTTTATTGAAACTTCAAATTGTGATAGAACGAAAGTTTACAGAATAAATTAGTTTTCTACTCAACAATTGATTTACATTGTTTCATGACATCACTTAAAACTCTCACATTATAAAAAGTGTTCTACCCACTTCCTCCTATTTCCCCATTTCTATTCTTCTTATTTAACCTTTCCTTCTTCTTTAGATAAACTGGGCAGATGCTGTCCTTTTCACGTTGTATAGTTGATGTATGAAGATTTTCTTACTAGTGTTGTGTTAAATATCACTTTATGAAGCTATTTGTTATTTGGCTAGAGAGCTATGGTGGCCTAGTAGTAAGGAGCTGCTGTACTAACCTGAAGGCATGTGGTTTAAATCTACCAGCTGCCCCATGGAAGGAAAATGGACAATGTCCTTCCATGTGATATATTGCCTTTGGTAACCTAATGGAGGGTCAACTATGAGTCAGTTCTAATTCCACAGTACATACAAAAACCATATATAATGATTGTGTGGCCAGGCTATGCCAAGAAATCTGATCAACTGACTAGAAGAAATCCTTGTTTGTTTCTGTTCTTCCTTGATGAAAAGAAATGATCCAACAGAGTGTAAGTAACCACATGCAAGTAACATCCTGCTGAAGGTTTTAAAAAATCTGGCTGTAAAGTGCATAAATAGGGAACCTCCAGAAATTCAAAGGGATTCAGAAGATGCCTTGGAGTGAGATATATCATGGCTGATGTTAGATGAATCTTGACTGAAAGCAAAAAATTTCAGAAAGTTAAAAACTTATGTTTTATTTGACTATGCTAAGAGATTTGACTATGGGGATAATCATAAATTATGGATAACATTGAGAAGAATGGAAATTATAGAACACTAAATAGTGCTTATGAAAACATACACATAGACTAAGAATTAATTGTCTAAATAGAACAAGGGAGCACTACGTGACTTAACATCAGAAAAGATGTGCATCAGGATTATGTCCTTTCTCCATATTCTGTATGCTTAACAAATAATTTAAGAAGTTGGAATATATGAGGAAGATTGTAGCATCAGAGTTAGATTTCATCAACAATCTTTGTTATTCAGATTATATAATCTTGCTTCCAGAAAGTGAAGATGACTTGAAATATTTACTGAAGATCAAACACTATAGTCTTCAATATGGATTACATTTCAACACCAAGAAAACAAAAATTCTTGTCACTAGGCTAACAGGCAACATCATAATAGATGGACAAATGGTTAAAGTTGTTAAGGATTTTCTTTTACTTGGATCCATAAGCCCTAATAATAGCAGCAATTAAGAAATCAAAAGACAAGTTGTATTTGAAAGTAAGATGTCAAGGACCTTAACAAATGCTAAAGAGCAAGTATATTCATTCTATGACCAAGATAGGCTTGATCCAAACCATAATATTTTCAATTAATTCATAGCCATCTGGACAAAGAAGAACACACAAAGAGGAATATATGCTTTTGGATTGTGATGCTGGAAGTGAGTATTGAATATAGTATAGAATGCTAGAAAAACAAATAAATTTGTCTTGGCGAGATGCAACCAGGGTTCTCCTTAGAGGCACTGATGAAAAAAAAGTCATCCCTTATGATTTGGGCATGTTGAGAAAAGAGTCTTGTCTTTGGAAAAACACATCATGCTGGGGAAAGTAGAGAGAGAGTCAGCAAGAGAGAATTATCTCAATAAGATGAATTGACTCGGTAACTTCAACCATGGGCTTGAACATGCAGATGTGGTGGCAGGGACCAGGGGTTCTCAATTCTGTTCTCCTCCATTGGTCTATATGTCTGTGGTTGTACCTGTACCAGGCTATTTTGAATACTGTGGTTGCATAGTAGATTTTGACATTAGGAAGTGTAAGACTTTCTATTCTATCCCTCCCTAGTAGTGATTTGCTTATCTGCAATCTTTATATATTATATATAAAGTTAGCAGTTGGTTATTCCATTCCCTTAAAGAATGTTACTGAAATTTAACTTAACTCCAGATTGCCTTGTATCTATAGATTTCAGTAGTATTGACAGTTTCAAATGTTGATTCTTCCTGTTCATGGCCATGATAGGATCTTCCTTTAATGAAACCTTAGTTTCTTGCAATAGTGTTTTGTAATTTTCTTTATGTAAGCCAATTATATATCTTAATAGGATATTACTAAAATTTTATAATTTTGTATCTATTATAAATGATATTTTTTCCTTCTTTGCAAACTTTTTTCCTTCACAGAGAGACATGTCTGATTTTTGTCTGTTGATCTTACCCCACCACTTTGCTGAATCTGTCAATTAGTGCAGTCATTTTCTTGCTTAATCTCTGGGAATTTCTATGTTTAGGATCATGTCATCTGCAAATCGAGATAATTTTAATTTTTTCTTGCCAAATTAGTACATCTTCTTTTTAATGTGTGCATCTGGTCTTCTGTTCTTTGATAGCCTTCCTAGACCTTCCCTCTAATTCCTTTTCCTAACAAGCCTAGCTTTCAGACCTTGTGTCAATTTTTAAAAATAAATTTATTTTAGTTCTTTCCTCATCGTATCCTCACACCTTATAAATAGTATCTAGCTTTACTCTATGAGGAACAGACCCAGAGACATTTAGACAGCACTTAACAATATTTGGTTGATTCTTTCTATAGTGAAGAACTCAAGGTTGGGCTATATTCTGACTGTAAGATTTTGATCAAATATTACCTCTTTGTTCTATTTTCACAATTAAAGTTAATTTTGTGAGGCACTTGAAGAGGATTAACTTGTGTAGTACATACAAATCATGTCAAAAAAGACCTGGCACATAACACAACTATTTGACTGTTAGATTTGTTGTTAGATGCCATTGAGTTGAGTATAACTCATAGCGACCCTACAAACAACTAATCTGAACACGGTCCTATTCTGTGACATCCTCAAAATTCACTCAAGCCTATTTCTGCAGTCACCATATAACCCAGTTGTTTGCAGATCTTCCTCTCTTTCACCATCCCTCCACCTTCTCAAGCATGATGTTTCTTTCAAGGAATAACCTCAGCTAACAATATGCCCTAAGTATGTTATATGAAGCTTCATCATCTTTGTCTCTAAGGAGCACTTGGGCTGCATCTTCAATAAGACATGTATGTTTCTTCTTTTGGCAGTCCCTGGGATCTTATCCAATAATTCAGAGACATTAATTTTTCTTCTGTCATCCTTAGTCATTGTCCAGCTCCCAGATGTATATGTTATTCTTGTTATTATGTGCTATCAAGTTGCCTGTGACCTATAACAACCCTTTGTACAGCAGCTCTGAACCCTCCCCTATCCTGAGCCTGTCTCACTAATTCAGACATTCCAATTCCCATCACCCAAGTTACTGTATCAGTCCATCTCATCCAGGGTCTGTCCTGCACTGTTGCTCCACCCTTCCAAGCATGATGTCCTTCACCAAGGATTGGTCCCTCTTGGTCATGTACCCACATTATGAGAGATGGAGCGTCAAAGTCCTAGCCTCCAAGGAGAAACTTGGTTTTGCCCTCTCCAAGACAACCTTGTTTGCTTTCTTGGCAGTCCATGCTATGTTCAAGACTCCTCTCCAGCAAGACAATTCAAAGGCATCAATTCTTCTTCTGTCATCCTTAGCCATTGTCCAGCTCTCTGATGTATAGCAAGTAATTATGAAAACCATAGCCTGGATTAGGTACACCTTAGTTTTTAGAATGGCATTGTTGATTTTCAGTATGCTGGAGAGGTACCTGACAACAGAATTTCCCAGTGCAATTTGCTGTTTGATTTCCTTATTGCTGGTGTCAAGAGTGTTGTTGATTGTGGAGCCAAGGTTTAATTATAAACAACCTCAAGTTCTTCTCCATCTATAATGTATATAGCAAGTAAAAAGACTATGGCCTGAATCAGGTAAATGTTAGTCCTCAAACTGATGTTATTGCTCCTCAATAATTTGGAGAGGTCCCTAACTACAGACATTCCCACTGCAATATAGCTCCTGATCTCATGGTTGCTAGTACTAAGTGTATTGACTATGGACCCAAGTAAGATGAAATGATTGATGGTCTCAATCCTGTCTCTATTTATCATGACACTGTCTATAGGTACAATGGAGAAACATTTTGTTGTTGTCATTTTCTTAATGTTGAGATGCAAATTATATTTAAAGTTGCAATGTTTAACCATCTGCAGCAAGTTCTTCAAGTCCTCCTCACTTTCAGAAAGTAAGATTGTGTCATCTGAGAACTGAAGGTTATTGATGAGTCTTTCTCCAATCTTGATGCCACATTTTTTATCATTGAGTCCAGCTTCTTGAATTATTGGCTTAGCATATAAACTAAAAAGATATGGAGAAATAATACAATTCTTTTGTACACATTTCTTCATTTTAAACCATGTAGTGTTGCTTTGCTCTAATTTCCACAAAAACCTCTTGGTCTTAGGTATAAGTTTTCTATGAGCACATTCAAGTGTTCTGAAATTCCCATTCTTTTCAGTGTTCGCCAGAATTTTTAATTATTCATACAGTCAAATGCCT